GGCTGCAGCCTACGCCATCACCGGCGACTCACAGCAGCCCAGCTTCAGGTTGAGCTGTCGTTCAGCATCCTAGCTGTAGAGGGCAGTGTCACTGGCCCCCATGTGGGATCCGAACTGGGGCCCTCTAGCATCCCAAGCCAGCTCTTAACCAACGCGCCACTCGGCTGGCCCTGAAAAGTTTCTTAATTCATTTAAGGATTACTGTTGCTTCTTGGCAGTTTATATTTACATTTGCTACTGCTTGCATGTACTTATTTTCAGAAGAGTGGGTGATTAAATTTTGATGTATGTTCTTCCCAGATTTTCTGTTAACCCACTTGTGTATACATACATGTTTTATAGACATGGTACTACTGTATATGTGGTATCATAACCTTTATTTTTTATTTTTTTTTAGCTGAGCCATCCTGCCACCTTTTGGCAGCTCAGTGGCAGCTCAGCTCGGGCTGGGCATTGGGCCGGGAATTGAACCGGCGACCCTGTTGCTCAGAGCTCGCACTCTTGAGCAAGCTCTTTTTTTTTTTCTTTTTAAAGGTTTTATTGGGGGAGGGAAACAGCACTGGGGAATCAGAGAAGCAGAACAGACAAGTTGCTGTCCTTTTGTTCTTCAGTCTAGTTGTGGAGGATGTCGCTTCACTGGCCCATGTTGGTATTGTGATCATTGCGCTCTTCCTGGGTGAGGCATTTGCTTGCTGGCCACTGGACAGCCGCTCATGGCAGTTCTTGGCAGCTCACACCAGATGCCGGCTGCTCATGCTGGCTGCCAGTCAGTCACGGTAGCTTATGGCAGCCTACTGCAGCCTATGCCATCGCCGGCGACTGACGGCAGCCCAGCTCCAGGTCGAGCTGTTGTTCACCATCTTAGCTACAGAGGGTGCAGTGTCACTGGTCCTCATGTGGGATCCGAACCGGGGCCCTGCTGCTCAGAGGTGGCACCCCAAGCCAACTCTTAACCAATGCGCCACTTGGCCGGCCCCAAGCAAGCTTTTAACCAACTGAGCCACTTGGCCGGCCCTGGTATCATAACCTTTAGAAATTTAATATTATAAAATCACGTTTTTCTTTTCATATCAACAAGTATAGATCTATATTATAATTTTAGTTTTAAATGCTTCGTGTTATTACAATCCTATTGGTGGGATATTTAGCCTTTTTGGGTTTTCTTTGTTATAAACAGAACAATGATGAAAATTTGTGTTCAGGATAGGCTATTAAAAGTGCAATTGCTGTGACAATGAATGCACTTTAAACATTTATAGATGTTGCTAGAATTGTATGTACCAACCACATATCTACCAATAGTTGGATAGTGCCAGGTATTCTATACTCTTAACACTAGGTATTTAAATTGATAGGCAGAAGTTAATATCTTATTTTAAATTTATATTTCTTCTGTTATAGGTTATAACCATTTGTTATAAACTTGCTTCTGTAAATTGCCTTTAAATTTTTTTCATTTCATCTACAGTTGACATACAATATTATATTAGTTTGAGGTGTAAAACATAGTGATCAGACATTTATATAACTTACAAAGTGATCACCCCAGTAAGTCAAGTGACAGCACATACAGTTATGACTATATTCCCTATGCTGTCCTTAACATCCCCATGACTGTTTTGTAACTGCCAATTTGTGCTTAATCTCTTCCCCCTTTCACTCAACCCCCAACTCCCCTCCCATCTGGCAACCACCAGTTTATTCTCTGTATTTGAGTTTGGGTCTGTTTTGATTGTTAGTTTATTTTGTTTTTTAGATACCACATGTAAGTGAAATCATACGGTATTTGTTTTTCTCTCGTCTGACTTACGTTACTTAGCACAATGTCTCTAGGTCCATCTGTGTTGTTGCAAATGCTAAGATTTCATTCTTTTTTATGGCCGAGTAATCTTCCATTGTATGTATGTACCATTTCTTTATCCAATTGTCTGTTTATGGGCACTTAGGTTGCTTCCATATGGCTATTGTATATGAAATGTCCTTCTTTGTCTTTTGTTAGAGCCTTTGTTTTAAAGTATTTTGTCTGATGTAAGTATTGCTACCCCAGCTTTTCTTTTTCATTTCCATTTGCATTAAATATCTTTTTCCATCGCTTTAAGACTTTATGTGTCTTTCTACCTGAAGTGGGTCTCTTGTAGGCAGCATGTGTATGGGTCTTGTTTTCTTCTCCATTCAGCCACCCTATGTCTTTTTTTTTTCTTCACCCTATGTCTTTTGACTGGAGCATTTAATCAATTTACATTTAAAGTAATTATTGATAGGTATGTAGTTATTGCCATTTTATTATTCATATTTTTAATCTTTCTTTCTTAAAGAAGTCCCTTTAACATTTATTGTAATATTGGTTTGTTTGTGATGAACTCTTAGCTTTTTCTTGTCTGGAAACATTATGCCGAGCACTCTATAAGGGCTATATCATTTAAATCTTGCAACCCTATATAAGGAGGCTTCTCCATTTTACAAATATACCAATTGAAAGCTTAGAGTGCTTAACTTTTTTCTCAAGGTCACAGTGGTATTAAGTGAATGATAGGGATTTGAACCCAAGCTTTTCTGACTTCCAAATATTCATGTTTTTCTTACTGTGTAAGGTATGGTTTCTGAAATTTGACCTTCACTCCTATCACCTGTTTCCTTTTTCGTTTGTCAAAAATTACTGCTGATAGTGTAAAGGCACTGTTCTTAGCAAGGGAAAGGATAAAATCTGGCATTCCTGCTTTCGTAGCCCATGTAGATTTTTATGGAGACGTATGCCTACAATTAACTATGTAAAGAAAAGATCAATCTGTAGTCAGAAGATTAGGATAAAAGGAGGACACACAAATTACCAGTATCAGGAATGAGAAAGTGACATTACTATAGGCATTAAAATGATAATAAGGTAATAGTATATATAACTTTGCCAATAAATTGGACAACTTACATGAAATGGACAAATTCTTTGAAAGATACAAAGCTACCAGACTCACTCAAGAAGAAATAAATAATTACCTAGCCCTATACCGATGAACTTGTAGTGAAGAACCCCACAGTGAGTGACTCCAGGTCCAGATGGCTTCACTGGTAAATTCTATGTAACACTCAAGGAAAAAATAATACCCATTCCACACAAATATTTCCATAAAATGGTCCTTGTCTGTGAGACTGGCATTACCCTGATACTCAAACCAGAAAAAGATATTACAAGAAAACCAGAGTAATATCCCTCTGAACATACGTAAAATTTATAAATAAAATTTTAGCAAATCAAATCCAAGAATATATTTAAAGGATAATACATCGTAACCGCAAGTGGGATTTGTCCCAGGAATGCAAGTTTGATTTAACATTTGAAAATAATTAGTGTAGATTACCATTACTATAACAGTTTAAAAAAATGCCGTGTGATCACTTTAATAGATACTTTTAAAAGTTGACAACATTTATTTCTGGTAAGAATTTTTTAGCACACTAGGAATGGAGGAGTAACCTGATAAAGAGCATCTCTGAAGAACTCTACAACCAACACATTAATGGTGAGAGACTGAGTGCTTTCCTCCAAAGATTAGGAATGAGGAAGAAACTTTTTTATCACCATGTCTGTTTCACATCATTGTGGAGGTCCCAGCCAGTGCAGTAACGCAGGAATAAGAAAATACATCCAGATTGGAAAGGAACCTTTATTCATAGTTAGGAAAATTCTAAGACATCTACAAAAAAGCTACTAGAACTAGAAGCTTAGTGAGAATATCGAATACAGTAGTATCAATATACAATATATTCGTATATATGCCTTGGAAGTTGAAATAAAAAATAACAATTTCAAATAGCATTCAAAGAAATGAGACACTTAAGGATAAATTTGACAGAAGTTGCATAGGCCCTTTATACTTAAAAACGAGAAAACATTGCTGAGAGCACTTTGAAAGACCTAAGTAGATGTTGTCATTCATTGTAAGACTGTTGGTAAGATACAGTTTTCCACAAATTGATTTATAGATTAGATGC